TCCAGTGTTTTATATGTGATTATCTTGCCTGTTACTTGTCTGGTCTTTCCCCTGAACCTATTTAAAATGACAGTTACCTATCCTAATTTATGCAAAAGCAGTATTTCTGAGTTCCAATTATAAAGAGAGAAGCTGGAGGAAATAAATAGTTTCAGGGAGGAGCAGCCAGCTCTGCAGTCACCTTCAGGCTGCCACACTGGGTGTTACAGCAATGTACAGGAGGATGGAGGGCAGGTCAGGTGCCCGCACAGTGACAGTGAGGTCCCTAGGACACACCATAGTTACTGGCTAATGCCACTAGCAGCAGCCTGTACCTGCCCACCCTCAGGGACTGAAGGTACTCAGGGACCACTGTTGTTCTGCTGGTGGCATCCCCACAAACCCTTAGGACAGGCTGAACTCCCCTCTGACTCCACAAAAACTGTTAGATAATGTTTGATGTAAACTGGAGTGATGCAGTGGTGACAGATCAGAGAGAAGGAGATAAGGAGAAATCACTATGGTACAGGGAACTGGACCATGGAGATGCAGGATCAGGTCTTAATTCAGCTGCAGCTTCTTGAGTTTCTGGAAGTTTCCTTACTTTTTGTTTGTTCCCTTGTAACTGCAATCACAAGTTTTTGGGAAGCCAATTTATATGGAGGTGAAGCAGAAGAAAGAGATGGGCAACAGTGCAGGAGTTCCCCTCAGATGTGTGCAACCTTGTCCCAGGGTCAGTGCAACCACAGAAAACTTGTATGAGAGCACACAGCAGTTACTAATCTGCCTGCCTTTGTCTGATAAAAAATACTTTAAAAACTGATCTCTCTGCTTGCATTTCCCCAAAGTAATAAAAGCTTTATATATATGTAATTTTTATTTGTTGATTAACACTCAGTAAGGATTATTAGTGAGCATCTGTATTAGCAATACAGAACTCCTGTGTAAGCTCCTTTCATGTGACTTGTCCCATTAGCCTTTGGTCATGGCTTTTATTTGCTGCTAAAGGAATAGCAAATGTGAGGTGATGTTTGAGATTTAGAGTATTATAACAGCTGCCTGCTATGTGATGACTTTTTAAAACTAATTTTGAGAAAATCAGAGTGCATGAAACCAAATTGTAAAGATTCTGACTACAGACACACTAATCCTCTAGAAAGGCAGAGCTACTGACATTAACTTGCTAGACTAGATGCACACAGTTCATAAAAAGAAGCTGTGGTCACATCCCTGGGCAGACTTTCATATGATGATTTAAAAAATCTGCCTCAAGTAGACTAGAACTGCCATGGAAGGTTGAAAATACTCTCCTCAGAGTCAGCCTTGTTACTTAAAAATGCAGCTACGCAGTTGAATTGTGGAAGTAAACATAACAAAAATTGTAAAGTTAAGAGCTCAAAAGTTAGGAAACGCCAGAATAAGTTGTCTTTTTTGAATCATCACTCTTCCCCTCTTGTCTTACAGCCAGTGCACGTAATGCGAAACTATTTGGTGTTTTGTAGGTGCCTCATATTTTACTGCATGACCTCAGGCCTTCTTTGAAAAATGTGCAATAGAAAGAAAAAAAAAAAAACACACTGTAGGACTATTCTGTGAAACTCAATGTGTTCTTCAAATATATCACAAATAACCATTTTCAGAATACCTGTAAAGAGGGACATCTATGTAGATCTCATTTCCTCTTTAGAGATCGAGGGAATAAAGACTGAAAGTGTCCATGAAATACAAATGCTGTGTGTGAGACACTTCAGAGTGACTTTTAAATTCCTTTTATATCACACTTCATATATTTGAGACTGTGTTTCCACAATGTTCAGTTACAGCTGTTTCTTCTCAGCATTATCTGTGAACTAACCAGGAACATCTGAAACAAAGTGCCAGTAAAAGATACCTTGAATGATTTCACAACTAGAACATCAGAACTTCAGGACAAGAAGGAGAGATACAATTAATTTCTACGTGTAAAGCCGAACTGTCAATAATGAGATTTTTGTTTTCATTTAGTATGTGTGTTCTACTCATTGCTTAGAGAAGTCACAAGTGCTACAGATGACATTCCCCTTCAGTACATTGTGTGATCTGAGCCTTAGCTTTGGGGTAAATGAGGCATGGACAGAAAATGTACCAAACAGGGCATGCTAATAATTGTTTAATAATGCAGTTGAGAGAAATTCAAATTATGTTGTAAAGACAGTCTTGACTTTGGTACTTTTGACTTTGCAAACACAGTGAGATTTTAACTGTCTGGTGTGTTTGTGGCATTTTATTATAAAATGAAAAAAGACACCAAAAGCAAAAAGGAAATCAGGTATATGAAAACCTAATTGCATTTATGGGTGGTTATCAGAGCTGCAGCTGTTGCCTTCGGCATATATATCTGATTGTTAATTAAAACCATAATGGCAAGTACCAATCTAGTTTCATTACAAGGTGGGCCCAGAGCATGGGGCACTGTGCCAAAAGGCTTCACAAATATTTCCTGATAATGAAGATCAAGCTTGCAGCTCTGTGGGGAAGCCTACCCCCTTATGAGTACATGCACCTGTTCTCTCCAAAGCTGTTTCTTAGGCACAGCTATTGTCCTGTCCAGAACTCTATCACTCTTTCTTGAATGTCATTATCATCACCCTGTTGGTCCCTCTCTTTCCACCTAATGCCTGATCAAGTTCAACCATCCAAGCCATCCAACCAAGCAAATGGAGCTTTCAGCTTTCTGACTGGACCTTCTGCTTCAACAACTCTCAGTTCTTCCTCTGCTGGTTCCCCACACAATGCATCTCTATTGCTCCTCTGCTCCATCACTATGCTCCATTTGCCTACATTCCTGTTCTCCTTCCCATCTACCAACATTCCTATTTGTGTCTTACCCTTTTGTAATACTCCAAACAAATTTGATTTAGTACTAGTTCTCTTCACATAACCAGATTTCTCTCCATCTACTGTCTTAATCTTTCCC